TGTTAAGTTCAGCTAGCAGTTTCCCAATGCCATTTCTAAGATTAACATCTTCTTCGATTGCAGCGAGAAGGTAGACTTCGAACAGGTTACCTTTCAGCTGTTGGACAAGAAGGTTGATGGCATTGTTGCTAGTGTCAACCAGTGGTGAGTCAGAAGATTGGACCAATTTAGAGTTCATCAAGAGCTAGCGTAAGTTATGCAGTCTCTTAAGGGCCTCAGTTGGATTTCTCCCCTTAAGAGCTAAGATATCTGCTCAGTTGAGAAAATAGTTTGACATGGAGTCATGCACATCAGCTTGAGTTGGCTCTAGGAGAACTTATTGGATGTTCTTTTGAACGGGAATAACATCAATACAAGCAGTAGTTTGTTCTTCATTGTCTTCAGCAGGCTTATAAGTTTGAGAGTCATTGGAGGCAGGGTTGGTGTGAACAGATGCAATGTGGTTATCCGCTTCATCGGCAGGGTTCAGTTCAATATCTATTATTATTTATGGTGGCAACTTTTGCAGCAGTGGTTGTTGTATTCATTGACTGGGAGACTATTTCAATGGTCGAAACACTAGAGTCAAGGAAATATGACCAGTGTATGGGTGAAAGTGAAGGAGAAGCGGATCGGAGGATACTTGCGGGAGCTTTTTCTTGGTCATGGTTAATGTCGTGATCATTGGTCGTGGCCAAAATTTCCTAAGGGAAGAAAGAAGGTATCCAAAACGGAAGGAAGAACAACAAACTAGTTATGAAGAGGACGAACGCATACCTTGGGGTCATCAGCTTCGTTGTCAGAATTGTTTGAGAGTGGAGTGATTCTTTCATTGACTAAGGGAGTAAGAGTATGGGTAGATTCATTTTCCCTTCTTTTTTCCTTGTTCGTCTTCTTCGGAGTTATTTTTGGAGAGTGGTTGGAAGGACCTGCAGAGGTCTTAACCGTGTCCTTTTGGAGTATAGACACTTGGGGGTCTCTTTCTGCTGTTGGCTGAAATCAGGCTTTAAGGTGGGCTTCGACCTCGACCTTGAGAAGATTAGAGGTTGCTTAGACTCCCTGAGCTTTCTTCGTGAACTTGAACCAGAATGAGTTAGGGAATACTCTAAAGAGTTGGTTGAATTAATGATGTGTTTAAAGAAAATAAGTAAGGGTGAGATTCGAACATGATATCTGACTAGGAAAAGTAATGGTCATTAGAGCAGAAGTAGTTCTCGGGGTAATGGCAATCTTATTGGCAGAGAAAGTCTTCGCTTTCTTCTTCTTGTGTCGAGTGGGGGATTCAGGATCTTGTTGTCGGATCTGAGAAGGAACAGATTTATGAGAAAGTGCCTTAGGAAAAAAAGATATGGCTTCTCAGTAAGAAGCGAAGGTACCTTCTTCTTAGAATCTTCTGGTTGTCTCGTCTATCTTGCCTCGTAAGGCCTTTCGACATTGTCATCAATGAGAAATTCAATCTCATCTGATAGTCAAAGAGTTAGTCGAAGAAAAGGAAAAGAGGCAAAGAGGTGCTTAGAGAAACGTACCTTGTTACTCTTTAGGCACATCAGAGAGAGCGTCAAAGATCCTTGCAAAGAAGTTGTCCTCTGAAAAGTTTGTAGCTAGGTAGGCTTGCCATTAGTTGTGGAATTCAGCAGTTACATTGAAAGATGGTTGGAAGCCGGTAGAGCATATCAAAAGACATGATTAGACTTGACCATAAAGGACAGATCAAGAGCGAATCATTCAATAACAACAGACATGATGTGTAGGTAACTTGGAAAAAGGTGAGAAACCTTTGAAGCTTGCGACCGCTCGGTAGGATACGACCCAGATAAGGCGTAAAGCTGCATGTTCATGGAGTAGGGGATCAACATTTGTTTCTGCCAAACGACAATTTTGTTGTTATCAAAGGAAGGTTCAGGAATGAAATCCTTCACCTCTTCGCTTTCAGAAGGAGGAATGACGAAATCCAGCAGATTGTTACCAATAGAGGGTTTGAAGTAAACCTTGCTCTTAGTCATGGTGAGAGAAACGATTTTTTTTTGGGAATAGAGATGGCAGAATGGGATTTGAAGTTTTTTTGCGAAGGAGAATGAATGCAAGAAGACAAAGTAGAGAAAATGAAGTGAAGAGATGAGAAGAACTATTTATAGCCATTAGTGCATGTCCCAAATCCAACACCTGGTAACGATGTGAGAGTGATTGAAGAGACTGCGTGGGGTTTTGACGCAAGTATTAATGAGGAGTGAGAGTAGTTACTACAAAACATAAAAACCCACGTCTTCCTGGGAAGTAGGAATGATGAGTGATGATGAGATTCTGAGCGAATCTCTTGAAAGTGATAATGCACCGCAAAAAGGGCAATGATGACGCTGACATTAGTAAAAGTGAAACGACGTCGAAAAATTGTAGTTAAAAAGGCCACATCTCTCTTGTTCGATAAAAATCGAAACATGACCTTTTGGGGGCAATTTGTTACACTGGATTTTTCGACTTAATTATAAATGGAAAGTATTCAATGAGACCAACCATGAATGTGCCACGTGAAAAATAAAATACCATGGGTCAAACTTGATCATAATGACTCAAGGTCGGGAATCACGTAAAGGGGTACCGGTCGAAGGTGACGTAGTCGAAAGGCACGGCGAGAAGCATGGAGACTTAGCGAAACTGAGTATTATGTTTAGGGATGGCAAACAAACCCGGGCCCGCCCACACCCGCCCGGGCCCGCCCCGAAATTAACAGGGGAAATCCGATTTAATTGGGTGCGGGTGCGGGTGCGGGTGAAACCCGGTTCTTAACTACGGGTGCGGGTGCGGGTGCGGGTGCGGGTAGACACTAAGACCCGCCCGCACCCGCCCCCGCCCCGCCCCAAATAATATATTTTATTTTGATTTCCTTATTTTATTTATTTTAATATTTATTTATTAATTATACTTTTAATTAAGTTATTAATATTCTTATTGCAATTAAAGTAATAAAATTAATCAAGTTAATATTCATTTATTAATTAAAATTTTAATTAAATAATTAATTAATTTATTAAAATAATCAATTTTTTAATTAAATTACTAATTTTTATTATAATTAAAAATATAATAATTTTTTGCGGGTGGGGGCGGGGCGGGTGCGGGTGCACCCGTTTTCTACTGGGGGCGGGTCTGGGTGGTAAATTTTCACCCCCGATTGGATTTGGGGGCGGAGGCGGGTCTGTTACATGGAGGCGGGTGCGGGTGCGGTTATAGTTAAACCCGCCCCCGACCCGCCCCGTTGCCATCCCTAATTATGTTATGTTAGCCACTTAGTGAAATTGAATACTATGCCATGTTGGCTAAGGTTGGAGTCCACCATTACAGTTGAATACTATGCCATGTTGGCTAAGGTTGAAGTCCATTATTACAATTGAATACTATGTCATGTTGACTAAGGTTGGAGTTTATCATTACACTAGATGTAATGGAAACTCAATCATCACATGTGAAGTACATCACTATAATGGACAATATGATGAAACATGTTACATTAACGTTGTCGACGCAAATGCTTTGACGAGGATATTCAATTCTTAGCGCCAATAAAATAAAACAATTGAGAAGTTCAAATGAAACCACAAGGCGGGAACTACTATATCAGCACCAACGGTTACATGGAGAACACGGGACACGTCGGGAAGAACTACTACACGATTTAAAAATGTGTCACCACGGGAGTAGTTTATCGTGCTTAGGTAGTAATCTTAGTATTGTATATATAGGTACTTAGGTTCATTTTGTAAGGGGTCTGCAAATTGTACACGTTTTCTTAAACACTTAAAGTACCTGCGTTGTGAGAAACGAGTGAAAGGAAGATGTACATATGCGTTCAACCGTTTTATACAAATTCAACAATTTTATCTTAAGTCTTTCTTTTATGCATTTAAATTTTTCGACTTCCTCTACTTTTAACGCAACTTTACGTTTTCTTGCACTTTACTCTCAAGTCCCTCTTTTAATTTTAAAATTTCTTTTACCTTGCATCATTCTTTTAAAGAGATCACAAACATTTTCATATACTTTGTCCGAGTTTATGTTAACTTCGACAAGCCCTAAGATTTTTACGAGTAACGCACACATAAACATGTCCAAGAGATTTTTGAGTTTGATCCCTTAAGTATTAATATAAATTTGTATTTATTTACTAAATTTCACAATAAACACACTGACATAATAACACTGCTGAAAATTTGAAAAAATAATTTAAAATTAAACATGATTACAAGTCGGTACACATCCATATTACACAGATACAAATACACTTTTTTAGAATGTCAATGCTATTTAGTAAATATTCTACAAATACAAAAATGACACCAGTATCATTTAAAGAAGTCGGGTTGTCACAAAATTTTGGAGGTCCTGTGTAGGTTTACCATGGTTTGATTGCGAAAAAACAAATATGGATCATATTTTATTATGTTTAAATCATAACAAATATTTTATGAAGTCCTTTTTAACCATGATTTAACCTTAGAAAATTTTAGATCCTATGCAATAAGTCGTTTTACACGCTCTTAAGGACGGTCCGTAAAAAAATATATCTACTAATGTTGTTTCTAGAGTTCCTATCTTTTGAGAGGTTTTTTAAATCCATAACCCTTTCAACCATTCTTGCATTGTTTGAATGAAATTGAGTTTGTTCTATATTCCGAGAAGGTCCAATTTTATATATTGAAGAACTCAGAATATGTATGCGAGGCATGGAATATACATTCAGATTAGATAAGAAACATAAGGTCCATATAAATGTTTTTTTAGTGAGATTTTATCTAACCCACAACGTGTGCGTAAGAGAGCAAGAGACGCCGTTCTTCCTCGTACTTCGGAAGCGTCAAAACTACGGACATCAAATTTCCCAATAATAAAAAAGAAAAAAAATTCTACTAAACACGACACAAGGTCAAATCCGTCATTCCATATTCCCACGCGTTATAGCCCAGAACCAGATTCTCAAAACAACACTTCCCCATAACACTTTCTTCCTTTCTTCTCATTCAATTCCAATGGCTGATGTAACCTATCTCCGTCACCACCACGAACCCGACGATGATCAAACCCTAATCCCTTTACCCTATTGGTCTTCCCCTTCCGATTTCGATCTCGATTTTGATCTCGATTTGTATTCCTCCGATCTCGATTTCCATCCCCACCACCACCACCACTTCTCTCGTGAAAGTTTCGTCATGGATCTCTTTCAACAGCGGGTGGAGCAATCTAACGTCATCGATCACACAGATCCTATTCATCAATCCCTAAACGACTCCGTTTTCGACAGTTTAAGTCTCGATTTAGGGTTAAACTCTACCGATCTATACATCGAGGACGATGATTTTACCGATACGAGGGTTTCGAGATCAGATCCAATCAACGGTCTGCGTATCGTTGAGATTGATTCGGAATCTGATGGTGAGGAAGTAGACGGAAATGGAGATGTAGACGGAAATGGAAACAATGTGTTGTATGGGATCTGCGTGCATTCTGATGAAGAAGAGTTTAGCAATGTAATCGATGATGTTACGAATTTTCCTTTCCGTTGGGATTCTCTTCAGTTGGATGATAATCAGATATATGAAGATTTTGATTGGGAGGAAGTTGACGGTCGTTTAGACGGTATATCGGTTGGTAACGGCAACATTGGCAATCATAGGGTAGTTAGCGCCGTTCGTGATTTTCCGTATATCGAAGAAGAATCTGAGGAAGAGCTTACCTTGACGAGGGTTGGTGAAGGCATGGGGAGTCTCGACTGGCAAGTGTTGTCGAATTCGGATAATTTAGGCACAAGCCCTGAAACTTATCATGTAATTGCAGAGCCTTTTGAGGACAATGATGATTACATTTACACTGCAGAGTATGAGATGATGGTTGGTCAATTCATAGGTAATGATAACCCTTCTACGGGGAGGCCTCCGGCTTCTGTTACTGTCGTGCAGAATCTTCCTTTGGTGGTTGTGACCAAAGAGGATGTGGACAACAACAATGCTCTGTGTGCAGTTTGTAAAGATGAATTTGCTGTTGGAGATGAGGTGAAGTTGTTGCCGTGTTCTCATCGCTACCATGGAGATTGCATTGTGCCTTGGTTGGGGATTAGGAATACTTGTCCTGTTTGTCGCTATGAGTTCCCCACGGATGATGCTGATTATGAACGTAGGAAAGCGCCGATGTTGGCCCGGAGCGCTTAATTATATGTTATTGTTGCTAGGCTGTTGAGAGTTTAGGTTTTTTGGTCCTGAAATGTTGCATGCCTTTGTTATTTTTTGAATTTTTCATATGGGGATTTTTTATTATAGGTATGTTATCTTCCAATTGTATTTTAGGATACATCATAAAAATGAATCAACTTTCTAAGGAATACATGAATTTGTTATGCAATCTGATTGTTTGAATTCTTATGGGTTGTTCTCTTTATTTTTCTCCTTCCATTGTATAGTAGAACTCTGAAGTGTGAACAAGTACTTCCATTGTATAGTATGATCACGTTTCAGCACTCTGAAATTCATATGTTAATCGACAAATTGACTAACTTGTTTTCAGCTCTCTTGTGTTTTGTTCCGTTGAGTTATAAGCTGAGGATTCTTAATCATGAATGTTATTATTACTGGGAGTGTCCATTATCACTTTAGAAAGAATGATAATTTTTATAGAAGTTAATTGAATAAAACTGCCTATAGACGCATGAGAGGAATCGAGTGCATAATGATAAGGAGTTAGATCCTCTGCAGTAAAATGATCATGATGGATTTGTCGATGTTATCAGTTTGCTACTAGGTTTTGCAAACTACTTTTAAGAAAGCTGTGCAATTTGCAGTTGTAAGCAGTTAGTGGCTGATCTTCAAATTGACAGGGCCATGGCACCCCAAAGTTATTTATATTTACAATAGTATTTGTATAATTTATATGACTTTTACTTAGGTTAGTGGTAAAGTGCAGTTTAGCGGCAAAGATACTTTTTGCATTTTCATTTTCTTTTTTTCTAATTCTGAAAAATATAAATTAAGAAAATGTTAGTAGCTTGTTTTGTTTCTGTTCAGGTTGGTATTGCTGAGAATGGTTGAAAAAAAAAAGAATTATTCAAGCTTGACTTGGAACTGGAAAAACAAACAAAGAAGTTTACTACGTAGGCTTTTTTAGAGAGAGAGAGAGAGAGGTGTCTCCCTTGACTTGAAAATTGGTAAAGCAAACAAGTTCACGTAGGCTATTTTTTAGAGAGAGAGAAAAAGTCGGGGTTTGTTTGAGAAATTTTATCCCATACTCCTACAATTATATCGATATCTATACAATTTAAAAAAATATTAATTTTATCCCTGCATATTTATTTATATATATATATATATATATATATATATATATATATATATATATATATATATATATATATATATATATATATATATATATATATATATATATATATATATATATATATATTACTGTGCTGTGTCAGTTTTTTAGAGTTTCAAGAAATTCACCAATCGAGTCTTTTAGAACACTTTTAAAATGACTTTCGGTATGCTGTTTTTTTCAAACAGGAAGACTTTGGCAAAAAGTTCCGGTTTATACACAATATATACTGGAAGAGTTTATCAAAGACTTATGGTTTACGTTTTTCGTAGAATTTTACCGGAACACTTTTCTTAAGAGTTCAAATACTTGTAAAAAGTGTACCGGAACACTTTTTACAAGTCTTCCGGTTTGGTAACGTTGGATACCAGAACTCTTTTCCTGAGTCTTCCGGTTTGCATTTGTAAATTTTTTTTTTGTAATTGTTTTTATACAGGTACAAAAATTTCTTTACAAATATGCGATAAAGATCAGATATGCGTAGATACGTCTGATGTTTTTTCAACTACTCAAAGATTTGGTACACGAGAAGAGGTGATAAGATGGATTAAAGAGATTGGAATCCGAAATAAAGTAACGGTTATCATCACTCGTTCAGATATTGAAACAGGTAAGAGAGGAGTAACAAATTAATATTTGGATGTGATAAAGGAGGAAAACACAAAGATATTGATATTGGAACCCAGAGTGCGACGAAAAAATGTGGATGTCCATTTAGAATCAAATCAATTCCAGCGACGGATGGATCTGGATGGAAGATTGATGTAAAATGTGGAGTTCATAACCATGATTTACCTGATAGATTAGAAGGTCACGCATTTGTTGGTAGGTTGACAACGGATCAGAAGCAACATGTTGTTGATTTAACAAAGAGAAAGGTTCCACTTAGACATATATTGCTTTCATTGCAAGAGCAAGATCCAGATAATGTCACTCGGATCACGCAAATATACAAGCAGAAGAGTATGATAGAAAAAAATATAAGAGGTCTTAGAAGTGAGATACAACATTTGTTTAAGCTTATTGAGGATGCAAGTTATGTTTATTAGAGTAGAAAAAGAGATGACTCTGAAGTTATTAGAGATATATTTTGGGCTCATCCAGATTCAGTTAAATTGTTGAATATTTTTTCCTATTGTGTTAGTTATGGACAACACTTACGAGACAAACAAATATATACAACCTCTGTTTGAAATTGTTGGCATGAAATCAACCGAGTTGACTTTTGCTGTCGCATTTGCCTATATTGAGTCTGAGCAGACTGAGACTTTTTGTTGGGTGCTAGATAAGCTTAAACAATTGTTTGTGAATAAAGAGTTGTGTCCACAAGTGATTTTGACAAATAGAGATCTTGCTTTGATGAAAGCCATTGAAATTGTGTTTTCAAGGTCGATCAATTTGCTATGTCGATTTCATATTAACAAGAATGTTGGTGCAAAACGGAAACAATATGTGGCTAGTGACATGCAAAAGAAAATTGACGAATTATGGACGGATGTTGTATGAGCTAGTGATGAGGTTGAGTAGATCAAAGGTTGAACCAACTTGAGCAGGCGTGTGTTGATTGTAATGAATTTATTGATTATATGAAGGACACATGGCTGACACCACATAAACAAAGATTTGTTGGAGCATGGATTAATCGAGTGCTACATTTGGGTAACACCACGACTAATCGGTATGTATTTATTTTTAGTATTTCTAAATTGTATATTTTTTTTGAATTTTTTAAAAATATTTTTAATATGTATTAATTTTAGGGTTGAGTCTGCTCATTGGAAGTTAAAGCAAATATTGGGGAACAGTATTGGTGACATGGTCAAATGTTGGGAGGCTATGAATGACAACTTAAAGTTACAATTGGGCAATATTAGAGCTTCTTTTCAAAAGAGTTTTTATGAAGTTGAGCACGCCCACGTAAGTCCATTTTACAATAATTTACGTGGTTCAGTGTCTCGAGATGCATTGAGACGCATTGCTGAAGAGTTAAAACGAGTTGATTATGTTGGAACTAACAAGAAAATATGTCGTTGTACTCTTAGAACAACCTACAAATTACCTTATGCTTGTGAGTTGACAGGATATAGAATTGATGGTATACCGATAACAATAGATGATGTGTATGTTCATTGGAGAAAACTAAGTATGAAAGTTAAGTTAGACGAAGACGTAAATGATGGATCAGAGGTGGATATGAGTAGTGCAATAGATGAGTTATGGAAAAGGTTTAAGTCACTGGATGTTGTTGGGAAAAGGGCATTAAAAAGTAGGGTTTTTGAACTTGCCTTCCCCACAATGACTTCTATGTGTCCACCACTTGAGAAAATAAAAACTAAAGGGGGAGTCAAGAAGAAAGACAAAAAACCAGTAGGATATGATGTTTATAGAGACCCTTCGTATCATGAGTATGTTGATCAAGCATCTCAATCTTCACAGAGGAAATCTCAACCATCACAAACTTCGAAGAAGTTGAAATTATCACAGTCTTCACAGAAGAAATCTCAACCATCACAGACTTCGAAGAAGTTGAAATTATCACAATCTTCATAGTCATCTAAGCAGTTCATCCTTCAGTTTCCTAATCACATCAGGTCATATATTGATGGTGTAGTTAATGCTGTATCAGATGGTAATTGTGGATTTAGAGTCATTGCTTCATTGCATGGATATGATGAAGATGGTTGGCCAATGGTTCGTCGAGACTTGGGGTTGGAAATAATACATAATGAAAGATCAAGTTTGTATGCCAATTTATTTACTAATCAGTTAGCAGTAGTGAGAGAATCTTTGATGATAGAGGAATTTGGTCCTCAACCACCACATAAATGGTTAACTCTACCAGATATGGGTTACGTGATAACGAATCGTTATAATGTTGTACTTTTCTGTTTAGGAATTGAATGCTGGACTTTCTTCCCTATGACAACCTCATTTTCACCAAATGTAGCAATTTACTGCATTGGTTTTGTAAACAAAAATCATTGGGTTTAGGTACTTAGTTGTTTTTAGATAATGCGATTAAACTTAATTCTTTTTCGTTATTTTTACTTAATATTTTGATTATTTTTTTATTTAGGTAAACATGAAAGAAGAGTTTCCATTGTCACCAGTGACAGTAGATTGGAAGAAGTTTCGTTCTCCAGCAGCAACATCTTGAATGCTAGGATTTGCAGGACGTCTACAACATTGGCAACAACTTACGCCTATATTACCAACACATTATGAATTATAAATTATGTTACTCATTTTTAATTTCAAAACATGAATCATGAATTATGTTATTCATTTTTAATTTCAAAACATTAATCGTGAATTATGTTATTCATTTTTATTTTCAAAACATGAATCGTGAATTATGTTATTCATTTTTTATTTCAGGCTACAAGTTAACATATAAACATAAACCAACTAGGTCAAATGAGTCTAAAAGTTAACACCTAAACATAAACCAATTAGGTCAAATGAGTCTAAAAGTTAACATATAACCATAAATATAAATATAAGTCACTGTGATCGAGCAATATGTAAAGCTTCGAACAAATCAACAAACTGTGGGTCATCCTCTTTAGCACCAGCCTGTTGAAGATAACGATGAATCAATGAAGACACACGAGCCCAGCTAGGATCAGATGGTCCTGCTTCATATACAGGAACTGACATCTCTATTGGCGCATCACGATAGGGCAGTACTAGACGAGGATGCGAAACACGATAATACCACTGAAGATATCCATCATCTGTCTCATATGGGGTGGTGGCCGGTGCTGTCAGACGAATCACATCCTGAATGCTCTGATGGTAACTAATCCAGTCAACATCAATATCACCAGCCATCGTATAA